TTCCAAAGGCAAGAGCAAGGGTAAGTTCAAGGGGGGCTTCAAGAACAAGTTCAGAAAGCCATTAGCTCAAAGGATCCTTGAGTCAACCTGCAGGCTCTGCAACCAGCCTGGCCATTGGAAAGCAGAATGCCCATTGCGCCAGAAAGGTGTAAATAACAGCCAGCCATCCGGTGCCTCAGCTTTTGCCGGTGTCGCCGTGGCCCAAGAAGCGTTGATGTCCAGTGCCCCGACATGTGATCTCGCCGATGATGAACCGCCCGATCATGCCCAGCCGTTTGCCATGGAAGAAACTTGCCTCATGATTCATGGACATAACATGGGTTTAAATGGGAATAAATGGGGTTATAACGATAATAACCAGGGATCATGGAAAAGCATGTTGACCCATCGCCTGCAAGCAGTTCTCAGGAAGATGAATGAGAGACCGAAATCTGAGAAGCACCAAAAGCCTGACGTTCGCAACCCCCTGAGTCACAAAACTGTCGTAGTCGCATGCAATCCGGAGCCAACACTGTCCGAAGAGACGGTCCATTTTGCATCTCATGGAACACACGGTATTGTTGACTTAGGTGCCAGCATGTCTGTCATAGGAGAACGTCAATTCCAAGAGTTGTGCAAGGTTTTACCGTTGTCCATCAAGAAAACCATGCAGGAAGCCTCGTGTTCCGTGAGCTTTAGATTTGGCAATGACAGCACAGTGGTAGGTCGCCGAGCAGTCTACTTTCCAGTAGGATCGAAATGGATCAAGGTAGTGATTGTTCCAACTAACACTCCTTTCCTCATAGCCAACAGTGTGTTTCGATCTTTAGGTGCCATCATTGATGTTGCCAAACAACAAATCAGTTTCCAGGAACTTGGAAGGACTGTGCCGATCCGGCTGACCGACCGGAAACTCTTTCGCTTGGATCTGATGGACCTTTTGCAAAAAGAACAGCCAGCGGTAGCCGAAGATGTCATGCACACCAGCCATGAAAATCCCAAACATAAGGCTATTCGTGAGGTTTGCACACCAGGTCGCAGTCCAACCTTAGGAGATATGAAAAAGACCGTGTCATATGCTGACATTCAGCCAGCGGCTTCAGAGAAATCCATTTCCGATGGGGAGCAAACCAGGATTCAAGGTGCCCTGACCGACCACAGCTCTTATCCGTCTTGCCGAAAGCCTCATGGCGTCCAGCACGCCGGACCTCCAGTTCGACGATCTGGCAGATCGCTTACGCCGATTCAGCGTGAGCGAGAAATGCACCGAAGGAGAAATTGCCCACATCATGGACATGACACTGGAGGACCTTCGCTTAGAGAAGGTGACATTCGGAAAGACCCACGTGGGCAAGACTTACCAAGAGATGGCCTCGGAGACAAAATACCTGACATGGTTCACGGAAACCTTCCGTCACAGCCGCAAGCCCGAACACGTCAAACTGCTGCGATTTGTGCAGCTCCACCTGGAACAGCTCGAGATGGCACCCGTGAGTTCCAACAGGAGTGCAACCATGCCCAAGGCCAAAGCCAAGATGCCTCCTCATGTCCCGCCGATGTCAATCGATTTGGAGCTGGAGGAGGACGAGACCTCTTGGGATCAAGTCCACGAGGATGGAGACCTGATGCAACTTCGCCTCCAAGATCGAATGAACCAGATGGAGATGGTGATGCAGGAAGTTCTAGGTCATCTGAGGCGAACAGCTACCGAGGAACCCAATTAGACCAGAAATCCGACCGTTGCCAGATCGCCAGTCCGGCACTAGTAGCTGACCTTTGTGAAGCATGGCAAGACATCCATAACCATTTGAGTTTTGAGTCTGTTGATGTTTTTGGGGATAAAGATGCGGAGGATACCATCTTATTCACCAGGGAAACCAATTGGGTAGCCCAGGAAATGTGGGAGCATTTTGCTCAGAAGGGGATTTACCCCGATTCACCAGTGCTGCGAAAGTGCCGAGCCGACTTCCTAGAAGTGTACTGTAGCCAGGACAGTCAGCTGACAAAACATGCCCGGTCGAAAAACATGTGGGCAGAACGACACTGCCTCAGCGATGGTGATCTGGCCACGACAAAGGGTCGGAGGAAGCTGTACGATAGACTGTTGCACCTTTTGCCTCGCGATATATGGCTCTCTCCGAAGTGCAAGGCGTGGTGTAAATGGAACGAATTCAATAGTAAGCGGAGTACCAGCTTAGCCATGAAAATCATGAATGCCAGAAAAGCTGATGGAGTCCACTTGCTTTTATGTGATGCCTTGTTCCAGTTTCAGACCTGCAGATCACCAACATGCCACGCACATTTGGAGCAGCCATCCGGTTCCCAAATGTTGTATCAAGAGGAGTTGGCTGCGATTTTGGAACAGTCATACATCGGCCGTTGTGACATGTGCCGCGCTGGCAACTTGAAACATCCGAACACTCACCTGCCTCTGCAGAAACGAACCCAAGTTGTCACAACTTCCCAGATCATGTATCGTCGAATGGAAACTTTGAGATGTGATCGCTCCCATGAACATGAT